GTATAAGACTACTCCCACATATAAGATGACTCCCATGCATAAGGCTACTCCAGCATATAAGATGACTCCTGTGTATAAGACTACTCCCATGTATAAGACGATCCCTGACTTTTGAGAAGATTTTCTTGGATTACAAAGTAGTCTTATACGCCAGAATATATGATACTTTTATCAATTTCTATTGTTTCCCTCCATGCTCTGAAGTATCACCAGGGCGAATGTAGTCCCCACCCATACTGCTTAAAAAGGTGAAACCTCAGAATTGCAGAAATCTGAAATCTAGGTCTAAAAATGTGGAAATGTAGCTACAGTGAAATGGTAATACTGTACATCAACATCGCACAATTCCTGAAGAATATATCTTTTAAAAAATATTATAAAAGTTTCTTGCAAAAGCATTAATGGTGAAAAAAGGAGAACTGAAGCATATTTCAAGACCACCCACAGGAACGTCCACACTTTAACATCTAACATGGAGGACTCTAACAGTTCCCATCCCTCATTAAAATAAATGCCTTTAGCTGTTTCTGAGCAAATTGGGAGCCCTGAAGATGATTACTCCTTGACTCCAAAACCTCAGTTTCTACACACTTTAAAAACGATTTAAAGGTGGAGTCCCACAAGAAAGTAGTTTTGTGTCCGTGGCTCTCCATCTTTAAAGTGTGTAGAAATGGGTGGGAACCTGTGTCTGATGATGTCTTTAGTGCGAATCTCAAAACAGCTATCTAGGGTATTAAATCTATTGGTGGGGCACAGGTTCAACACCCCAATAGCTTCTTTAAAGTTCCGGCTGAAACCCAGAGCAAAGTTACAATCCCAGTACTATATTCCACCATATTTCCCAATACTATATTCCACCGTATTTCATCCATATTACTGGAAATGACCTTTGTGCCTTGAACTAACATACATTCATTATATGTGGACAACATTTTATTGTCCTTAAACATTTATTTATTTATTTACTATATTTATATCCTGCCTTTCTCTACCCTGAAGGACCTCAAGGCAGCTTACAGATGGGCAATAATTAAATGCCTTAACAACAATATACAATTAAATGCATATTTAAATTGAAATTATAATCAAAATTAAAATACATGAAAACATTTTAAAAACATTACAGTCACTATAAAACCATTAGTACTGAAATGTTTTTTGCCCATAATTTTAGAAGAAAGATTAAAAATGTGTGAGATGCCATTAAATGAAATAATGCAATACATTGTTTCATAGCGGATATTAAACTATCTATCTATCATCTATCTATCATCTATCTATCTATCTCTATCTATCTATCTATCTATCTATCTATCTATCTATCTATCTATCTATCTATCTATCTATCTATCTCTATCTATCTATCTATCTATCTATCTATCTATCTATCTATCTATCTATCATCTATCTATCTATAAATGCTCTGTGCATAATGAGTGTCTTAAAAACAAAAGAACTAATGAACGAAATCACACCAAATTTGGCATCAAAACACCTCACAACACAAGGAGTGACCATCAATCAAAAAATTATGATTTTGTCATTTGGGAGTTGTAGTTGCTGGGATTTATAGTTCACCTACAATCAAAGAGCATTCTGAACTCCATCAACGATGGAATTGAACCAAACTTGGCACACAGAACTCCCATGACCAAGAGAAAATACTGGAAGGGTTTGGTGGGCATTGACCTTGAGTTTGGGAGTTGTAGTTCACCTACATCCAGAGAGCACTGTGGACTCAAACAATGATGGATCTGGTCCAAACTTGGCACAAGCACTCAATACGCCCAAATATGAACACAGATGGAGTTTGGGGGAAATAGACCTTGTCATTTGGGAGTTGTAGTCACTGGGATTCACAGTTCACCTACAATCAAAGAGTGTTCTGAACCCCAAGTACAACAGAATCTGGGCAAACTTCCCACACAGAACCCCCATGACCAATAGAAAATACTTAAGGCCATCCAGTCCAACTCCCTTCATCAGGGAAAGAAATCATAATCAAAGTCCTCCTGACAAAGATTCATCCAGCCATAGATAGATATAGATATAGATATAGATAGATAGATAGATATGATTCACACACACACAGATAGAGTATCATAGATTTGAAAGGGACTCTTAAAGAAGGACAATAATATCTTGTATGTTCCAGAGTAGGCAAACCAGACACTCTCCACATCAACACTGACAAAGAAACAGCAAGAAATACTGTTTACCCACAAGCATAAAGAAATTACATATATTAGAAACCAACACTTTCTCATTACTTTATTTTCCAGATCAACAGACTGGGCTACAGCAACTCGTGGCAGGGGACAGCTAGTATATTATATACTTGTATACTTAACTATACTGACTGTAAATAGAAGGTCAGCTGCTGTCCTCCCCTTTTTGCCTTGTCTTTTACTCGTGTTGTACTTTGAAATGGTCATATGACTGGTCAAATAAATAAATAAATAAATATTATTATACTTAACTATGCAAGTTAAGTATTCGTTATCTGAAATGCTTGAAACCAAAAGTGTTTTGGATTTTGGAATATCTCTATTTACATATAGGTACAAAATAAAATATCAAGGAGATGGAATCCAAGGCTAAACATGAAATTTATTTATGTTTCATGTACACTTTACATGACTTATTCATATAGTTTGAAAGTAATTTTATGCACAATAGTTTTAATAATAATGTGTATACAATGTTTGTGCACTGAACCATCCTTATCTCATGTAGACGATTTTGAATTTCTGAGCATTTTGGATTTCTTAATTCCACATAAGGAATGCTCAACCTGCAATGCTAATAGTAAAAATCATTGAAACACACACTTCTGATCAATATCATTTTAGTAAAGTGGCTCATGATAGTGCCTCACTTCCAAACAAAAGCATACTTAAAATAGCTCCACTGAACTCACTGACACTTCAGTAAGTCATGACTGAATAAAATCCTGCTGATTGCAGATGGGCTGCTCCAGATATGATTTACAAAGATAATTCTAAAAATGGTAATTGTCACAAAGGTTATAGTGAGTGAGCGTGTGCAATTTGCTGCAACACATGACTCCTCCTGTCAGTTGGCAACCCTTAAAAAAGATTGAAGATTGTAAACTGAGCATTCTGCATCCAAATATTCCACCATCCATAGCTTGATATATTTTTTTTAACTCCAAAAAGGCAAACCCCGATTTTGCCATATTGGGAATGCCATTTTATTATATCACTGTATATAATGGGATTTGAGCATCCATAGATTTTGTATCCATGGGAAATCATGGAACCAAATCCCAATGGATACAAAGAGTCCACTATAGTACATTTCTGTTCTTGAGGTGGATGGGTCTGAGACTTTTTGCAGTCTCAGAAAAGATGGAAAGACTCCATGGATAGACATAGAAAAACTTAGACTAGAGCATATATCATGAAAAAATAAGTGCATGAAACAGAGGAAGACCATAATAATAATAATAATAATAATAATAATAATAATAATAATAATAATAATAATACTTTATTTATAACCTGCTCCATCTCCCCCAGGGGGACTCAGATGGCTTACATGAGGCCACACCATTCAGTACAATAAACACAATATTACACAAAAGCATAACAAAACCAGAAAATAAAATGCATAAAATGCAAAACCAATATAATAGACGACACAGCAAGACCATGGATGACTCAAGATGGTTCTCCTTCCATTGCTGTATCACTGTTAGCCCTGTGTAAGACAATTCCGCACAAAATATCTATTGCCTAATGTGCAAAGCTCCTCATTTTTTCAGACACAGGAAAGGAGATTCCACCTGAACATTAGGAAGAACTTCCTAATTGCAAGAGCTGTTCAAAAATGAAAGTCACTACCTCGAATTGTGGTGGAAAGTCCTTCTTTGGAGGCTTTAAGATAGAGGCTGGATGGCCATCTGTTAGGGGTACTTTGATTGTGCTTTTTCTGAATGGCAGGGGGTTGGACTGGATGGCCCTTGAGGTCTCTTCCAACTCTATGATTCTGTTTATATAACATTTATATAGCAAATTAGATGCTGTACAAATAATGCAAAGTGTGGAAGACCATTCTTGTGCCATCTGGTTCAACACCTACTTGAGCTTTCAAAGAAAGGAGAGGGAAACCACTATCAACCTAAAACCACAATCCCCAAAGTAACCTGCTAGCCATAAACCTTATTTTTGATATACAAAAATCACTTCATTCTCACAGGTATTAGGGGTGCAGGACCCCCATGAAACTAGAAAAACTATAAATAAAAAGTCTTTTTTTTTTGCCTAGAGAACACCTATCTACGAATCTCTAAGTTCTCCAGGAGTATCATTTGGCCTCATCCTGTCCAGCACTGAACTGAATCTTCTGTACATTCAACTCAACAAGCCGAAATACACTTAACAATTAAACAATACATACTATACAAATTAGAAACAGAATAAATGAACAAGATATTAAAAGAAAGAGAAAAGTTGTTCATTGTATACATCAGAGACAGGACAATTAACAATAGTCTTGGAAACAATTTAGAAAAGTTGGGTTTGGGGACTATGACTCCCAAAATCCCCCAGCTGACTGTGGCTTCTGTGTAACAAAGTAACTTTTCTAAACTCTGATCCAGATGTTTCCCAATGAAGAGTTAGCTCTTCATCCCCATGCTAAAAGCATGTACACATTTGGAAAAGAGTTAGAACAAGAATCCATGGACTTAATAATAGTATTTCCACGGATGTTTTCCATGTTGTATGCATCATGCAGAATCTGAGCACACAGTAAAAGGATTCATAAAGTGTTACTATTCTCATTAGCATGATTTCTAATCTTGTGGAAATAAATTAATTCTTCAAAAGATCTCCACAAAGTAGATTTATATTAATTAGAAATGACAGGACATCATAAGGAGAGAAATTATAACACAGTGTCAGGAAGTGTGCAAACGAACAAGGACAAAAAAGCAAATCATAATCAAAAAGAGAGAAAAGGAAAAAAAATCTCACCTTACCTAACTTAGCTGGTCTTTTCTCTGATGTGTTCGGACTCCAAAGTGTAGCAAAAGGAAAGAGTGTGTGCAGATGTCAGTACCCTGAGGGTGCCCGATTGCTTTAACGGTAGCTCTGTCCCGCCTAGCCAGGTGAGCTCATGGCAGCCACACCTGGATCTGCGAGGCGTGTCTCTCTCGGCTCATGTCCAGAGGTAATGGAAAAGCAAAAGGAGTGGAGGGAGGGAGCTGGCAACTAGCCAAGCAATCTCCCCACACCACCGTTCAGAGCCGCGAGTTAGCAGGAAGATGAATGAGGGCCTGCTTCATGCAAAGAGGAAATTAATAAGCAAAAAGAGAGAAGTGAACCTGGGTGTTTGACAGGGGAGGAAAAACCTTATATGGATTTCAGCGAAAAGCAGAAGGACAGTTTACTCTTCATTTTGCTCACTCCAGTAAAAATCCCTACTAAATGCACCATTTGCATATAGATTCCTCTGTACCCAGTTGACAATTGCCTCTGAGCCTATGTGGAATGTTCTCCTTGCACCCAGTTGAGGCTAAGGGACTTATTGTGTTACATCAATTCTAAGACACCACTGACTCTAAGATACACTAATTTCAAGCTTTGATTCTAAGGAAAAGCCAAATCTCTTAGAATCATAGAGTTGGAAGAAACCTCATGGGCCATGGAGTCCAACCCTCTGCCAAAAAGGAGGAAAATCACATTCAAAGCATCTCTGACAGATGGCCATCCAGCCTCTTTAAAAGCCTCCAAAGAAGGACCCTCCACCACTGCTAAACAGTTCTTACAGGAAGTTCTCCCTAATGTTCAGGTGGAATCTCCTTTCCTGTAATTTGAAGCCATTGTTCTGCATCCTAATCTCTAGAGCAGCAGAAAACAAGCTTGCTTCCTCCTCCGTATGATTTCTCCTCACATATTTATACATGGACATCATGTCTCCTCTCAGCCTTCTCTTTGCAGGCTAAACATGCCCAGCCCATCCCTTGTTTGGGTATCAGCCAGCACGTCAACGACTTAAATAAAGAAATAGTTTTCTAAGATCTACAGAGACACTTGCTGGAACACCCCAGCAAGTGAGAGTCCAAAAGTGGCAGGCTCAAACCCAGAACCTCAATCAATGGCTGATATCAAATGAGAGACTCCCCCCTGGGCACACAGAAAACTGGGTGACTTGGAAGGCGCCGAACAGACTGTGCTCTGGCACCACGAGATGTTGAGCCAACCTTAAGAAATGGAGCTACAAAGTGGAATCCACGACATGCGAGTGTGGAGAAGAGCAAACTACAGACCACCTGCTGCAATGCAACCTAAGCCCTGCTACATGCGCAATGGAGGACCTCCTTGCGGCAAGACCAGAGGCACTCCAAGTGGCCAGCTACTGGTCAAAGGACATTTAACCAACTACCAAGCTTGCAAATTTTGTGTCTTGTCTGTCTGTTTGTTTGTTTTTGTTAAAAATGTAATACAAATGTCTGGTTGCTGATGACATGATAAATAAATAAATGCCCAGCTCTTTAAGCCACTCCTCATAGGGCTTGTTCTCCAGACCTTTGGTCATTTTAGCTGCCCTCCTCTGGACACATTCCAGCTTGTCAAAATCTTCCTTCAACTGTGGTGCCCAGAGTTGAACACAGTGTTATTCCAGGTGTGGTCTAACCAAGGCAGAATTGACTTCCCTGGATTAAGACACTAGACTCTTATTTATGTGAGCCAAAATCCAATTGGCTTTTTTTATTTATTAGAATTTCTAAAGAGAACATCTAAATATTTTTTTAGAATTTCTAAAGAGATCTCTGGCTAGATGTGCTGCTGGGTCAGGAGCGGGATCAGGAGGCCATAGTAAGCTGATATTATTCTGGCTCCTTTTTGTGGGGCTATCCTCCCCAATTCTACATCAATGACACTGTCCTACTCCTGAGTAATTTGCTTCTTTTTAGCCCTTAAAAAAGGGGCTATTATTCATAGAATCATAGAATCAAAGAGTTGGAAGAGACCTCATGGGCCATCCAGTCCAACTCCCTGCCAAGA